CGGCACGACTTCGCTCTCTGGGAGGAATTGCTCCGCTACCGACAACGGCATTATGGAGATAGAGGTACATTGGATATCTGGGAGGGCTTAATGACCCGAGTGGAAGGAGTACAGCTTCCTGTTTCTGGGGACACAGCGGACTTTTTCTGGCAAAGCTTTGTGGAATTAGGCTTAAAACAGGAAGTTATACTGAAGGAGCTGGCGGATTATGCTTTTGAGCTATGGGTCAAAACCGGAAGGCGATGGGACAGATTCTACGAGAGTATCGTGGGAGGGTTCCTCGAACGTGGCTTGGCGCAGCAAGCAGTGGAATGGCACAAACGGCTTCGAGATCCCCATTTGCCCTGTCCGAATGACATCCTCAGTGTCCTTAGACCGGCTATAAATTCGTCCAACCCATTCTACGCTACATCTGCCATCCCGTGGAAGCCCAAACGTCATTTGATTCCCGCGGGGTTAAGGGCCTTCGAGAGTATCTGCCGTGCTACACACGGTCACAAAATCTACAGCCAAGCCATATCCACCGTGCTACAGAGTGATTACATTGATTATGCCCCCCGACTACATAAACTTTTGATCGAGCGAGGTGACCATCCGCAGTCATACGAGGACATTCAGGCACTAATCGAACACACAAATGAGTATGGCTCTTCAGGGCTTATTCAGAAGCTCCATCGCTATGCTAGTGTTCGGTTCCCCGACCAGGTCGAAGCGATCAACGAAGACGAATCTGACCCAAGAGGTGAGTTAGCAAGGCAGCCAGAGGATCAACAGTCAGACTCTCGTGGAAAGGCCTGGCTAGAGGAGAAGCCTTTCAAGGATGACTTCGGTGCCAGACTGTTCGCTACAAAAGCTCTTAGGTTTGAAATGATCCTCTCTGGATTACGAATGTTTGGCGTGACGACCATCGGGCCTCAGTCACTACGCGAGATGGCTATCCGAGCGCATGGTTGCCAGGATATAGCTGATAAGCTCCAGGAGCTTCAGAAAGCTGGGATTTCAGTAGGCGACAGTGTATTTGTACGCCTCCTTAACAAGTTAGCGACGGAAAACCGTGATATCCTCCTGTCCGATCTTCTTCACAGTGACCAGCATCCGGACGTTTTGGAGGACGCTCAGCTGCAAGAGTCGCTGTTGTTATCGTACTATGTCGCTCGCGATTGGCGCCCGTACAACCTGACTTTGGCGATTCTTGGCCAGATATTTGAGGATAAATCTGACCTTGCCAACGTTCATTTTCGGAAATTTTTGGCGGCTGGAGAGTGGAAGATGGCCATCCAAGTTGTTGACAACATGGTCCTACGCGGCGCGACGCTGTCTCAAGAGAGCATTGACTTCATCGCTGAACGTGTTCTCATCCCACGCGCACCGGGCAAGCCACCTCGGCGCGACGATATTCCTGCTACAAAAGAAATTAAATTTGTTTCTCACGCCCTGCGGCACGGTACCTCTAACGGCGACCTGGCGGTTACTGAGCTCTGGGTTGAGGTGCTGAAGCGCCTAGGGATGCTTAACCTTTGGGACGAACTACGGAAATGTTGTCTATGGCTAGCCCGCCAATATTCGTCTAGCTCCAATACTACTCGGTCCATCGTCTCCTATCCAAAGAAATCACAACGCGATACGGGCGCTCTGGCCCAGCAGCATGGGGACGCCTTACTCCGGAAGGTCTTCAGTCGGAACATGCAGGCTGCTATTGTCGCCTGGGGCTTTAGGACGCGGGTTTCTCAACAGCGGAAGTGGATGGTCAGCCATGGGGATCCGCATGAGAGCCTGATCCCTTGGGTACGCGGTCTTGTACTTCTCCGTGAATTGGAAAAAAATGGAGTTCACCTCTCGGTGACATGGATCCGCCGGGCTTGCCGGCATCGCTTGGCAGTACTCTACGGACGGCATGGGTTGGTCAATCGTCGGATGAACCGCATGTTGCGGCACGAAAATCCCTACAGCGTGGTGCGAGTCCTCGGAGACATCAATCTTGCCTGGGGCGAGCCATCCTTGTTTGGGGACCGGGAGGTTCGCGATACCAAGGGGTTGGTAAACCCTCCCAACCGGACGAGGCGGAGAAGGGTTAAGAAGGTGAGGTCAGCTTACCTACAAGGAGCGGGTTATTCTCGTATGAGAGAATTGTATAATAGTAGCGCCAAACGGGACTCACATGTATGATATAATGAGGGCAGAGGCATAGATAAAGTTCTGCTCTACAATAGATAATGTTCTCCTGCACATGTTCAGACCTGTCCACTGGAATGTTATGTTCCGAAACAAACGCGAGAGTCCCTAGCCGAACCACAATCATTGATAAGAGGTCGTACGGAGTACTTCCTGTAGTTTAGGGCATTCTATGAGGAATACCTCATGATGCCAAGCACCCGTCTGGAAGGGTCGGGACCACAGCAACGGCAAAATAGGGTTAAATGGTTGGCTGAGCCACGCATGGCGCGTCACCACAAAGCCTTGTCTTTCTAAGAATAGTCGCAGAGGCAACGCGGCCACCAGTTTCCTTCCCTAATAAAATACCGTCCCCATGGTCCACTATCACACTCGGATCGACGACATGCGTCTGAGGCCTCCCAGTGGAGATCCACTAGCGGTGTGTTGTTGCCTTGGGTGAACGTTTGACTGTTATTTATCTATTGTAATTGAAGGAGTGGGGTTTGTTTCTTGGATCGTGGTCCTCAATCTCTTCAACTCTGTAACAGATTCATAGACTGGTCGGCATTCCTCCCTGAAACAAACAAGTCTCTTTAATCTCTTTATTCTTTTATTGATCCCAGTACTCCATATCGCACGGACTACCACGTTCTAGTCATATCAATAGTTCCATTGCATAGTACATCTCCACCTCCCTCCCTTCCTTCTCCTTTTCCACTGCAGCCGTTGCATATTTGACGCTGCTCATCCTGGTCATTGACCGTCATCATCACATATTACGCCGCTGTCAATATGCTAGGGTTTGGCCTCTTAGCTCTGCTTCCTTTTGCTGCCGGAACGGTGCTCCCGCGGCAAACAGCATGCAATAACTCACCAGATTTATGCTCGAAATCTTACGGCGAGATCACTCATCTGGGTGCACATGACAGTCCTTTTGTACGGGATGCGTCGACTGGCTATTCGACGTCGGGGAATCAGTAAGTTTGACCAAGGGCGATTCCGTTATCCCCTGCTTATAGTTACTAATCGTACTTCAGGTATTTCAATACTACGGTGCAGCTCGACGCTGGCGTTCGCTTGATCTCGGGCCAGGTCCATAAAAAAGATAGCGAATGGCATTTATGTCATTCGAGTTGTGAGTTGCTGGACGCAGGGAAGCTGAGCACATGGTTGTCCGAAATCAAAAGCTGGTTGGATTCCAACAAGAACGACGGTATGTTAATCCTGTATATTATACCCTCCTTGTCTCTCTGTTGGTCGATAATCAAAGACTGGTGCTGACAACGGTTCCCATTCCTAGTGGTAACGCTGTTACTGGTCAACTCTGACGACGCTTCTGCCTCTGATCTCCATTCGCAATTCCAAACTGCCGGCCTCGTCGACTACGCATACAAACCCACCTCCCAGACCTCCGCGCCGAGCTCGTGGCCAACGTTACAAAGTCTTATCGACGATGGAACTCGATTAATGACATTTGTGGCATCCTTGGATGCATCCAAGAATACCGTGGCCCCATACCTTATGGACGAGTTCACCTACATTTGGGAGAACCCTTACGACGTAACGAACCCCTCCAACTTCTCCTGCAACCCCGACCGTCCATCCAGCCTCCAGAACGACCTGTCGTCCGCGCTCTCGTCGAATCGTTTACCCTTCATGAACCACTTCCTCTACCAGACCGTTCTCACCCTGGAGTACCCCAACTCCAGCTACGTGTCGACCACTAACGCGCCGTCCGGCGGAACCGGGAACCTGGGCGACGCAGCCACCAAGTGCAAGCAAGCCTACGGCCGCCAACCAGCCTTCATCCTGGTTGATTTCTTCGACAAGGGCCCCGCCATCAAGACCGTGGACAGCCTGAACGGCGTCACCAATGCCGTGGGCCGGACCAACCTAACGGCCGCCACCCAGACCAGCGGTGCCTCGACCTACTCTAACGTCTTCAAGGGACTGGTTGAACTGGTGCAGAGCGCCAAACTGGGCTCCAACCCCAGCATGGGCGAATGGGTCTGGGTGGGAGGCGATTGGGGCAGCCTACTCGGCGGCGGCATCACGCTCTAAGCGGAAGAGATGCTTCCGACATCCGTCCATCTCGTTTCTTCATTCCCCATTTTTTCACCATGTTAAAGTGTTTAATTGGCGACGGACACGCTTGAAATCAGCGCTGTTGCTTTTCGAGGCTGAAATATTTACGGATTAGCCTCGCTGTCGATATTATTGAGAGAAGTCACATGTACACGGTAACACAGGAAATCGGCGTTTTGGGTGAGCCATGACTTGACTTTGAATATAGATGAGCCTTCTTTGTGTTGTCCATATATCCCCACCATCTTCATACCATACCATGCCATGTACGTAGCAAGCGTCAGATATTACCTAGAAATGGAACATACCCGAACAGACCCTCACCTCCCAACGCTGGTAAAACACCGGAGAAAGAAAAAAGGATCACAAAACCACTTACTCCTTCCCCAACAGCTCCCGGACCTTATTCACTTTATCCTCGAACGACTGCTCCTTATCGATTCTGTACCACCCGGCGTCAGCCCTCGTCACCACAAACAACGCACCACCATCCAAAGAGGGGTTGAGGGCGCACAGTGACCGCACCCAACCCCCACAAACCACCCCGGAGAAAGAAAGAAAGGAAAAGGGAACCAACCTCGACCCAACCCTCACATCCGTCTGAATGCGCACAATCCCCTGCTGATGCAGAATGGTATGCGCCTGTCCAATAACCTGATGAACTCTGTCCCAGGGCCCCTCTGAACCAACATGCCACAAACACACCGGTCAGCTTCGCAATCGGACCAATACCAGAAGGACAAACAACGCATCAGGAGTGGGACGCAATCAGGGCATCGCTTTTCATACCGAGGGTTGTGCCGGCGCTGTGCATCACGTACTTGAGGCCGGATTTCTCGACCAGGCGTTGGACGTCGGCGATTTGGGCGGAGACGGACGGGGAGGAGGTGCCGATCTGGACAGCGAATGCGCGGGTTCTGGATTAGTTTGGGATGGTCTGATTTACTATGATCCGGTGCAGTTATACGTGTTGCATGGTATAGTGTTGGTTTTTGCCGGCAGCGTTGTCGGGATGGATGGAAGGGTTCTGGAAGGGAGACGGTCGGATCTTACCGGGATTAGGCAGAAGTCTGCGGTGCAGTGGGCTGGTGTTGGGATCGAGGAGATGTCGGAGGAGGCCATGGCGGTGGTGTTGTTCGGTGGGTTTTTTTGGTTGGGTGTGGTGAGTTCAATTAATGGAGTGGTTTTGGACAATGGGCAATTAATCCGGTTCGGATTAGAATATCAAAAGTTTAATCAATGAATAGGGATTGTGTGAGCGAGAGAGAGAAAGAATTCAATTGACTTGGATTGTCTGGTGATGTTGACGTTGTTGAACACTAAGACGCGGGGCAAAGGAACTCAAAATCCATGCATGGAGGGGTCCTTAATGGTTCGTTCTACTGTTTTAGCTGGTATTTTCCCCAGGACGATCTTGAATTCTATAGATAAAACGATCAAGACATTCATTTCTTATCGGTCCTTCCTCTGATTCCTCTTTTCATAGATGTTTACATATGTCTACACTGACAGGTATCCAGTCAAGTGATTGATAAACAACACCCCACTACTCAAGCCATTTAAATCACTACTCGTGACGGCCATCTTCATTGGGGCCGACAGGAACAGTCTCCACAGCTGCTAAACCATGCACGATGCATCTGATTCGAGGCAACTTGCCATTCACGAATGGACTTCGGTTGGATAAGCCTTGCCTGGTCGCTGCGTCGTTTTTTTTTCTCAGTGAAATGTGGGATTTTTTAATTTTAATTCATACCCCAGATCGGGTTGTGCCATCACTTGCGACTAAAAACCCTGATCCCCGTCGGAATCTAATGATCCTGGAGCCGATTTATGCTAGTCAGAGGGGATCGGCGGTTTCGAGTCTCTCGCAACTTCTACACTACCAGGGTCTACACTACCAGGGAGAGACACAAACATGTTGCCATTGACCATGAAGGCAACCGAGGGTAAAGAACTGACTATATGGAAAGAATGAAAAAGTTAAAAGGATTATCTCCAGCCAGCCTTCTCAAGCTGACCGTATAACTAACTAACCAGAAAGTATTAATAAACCTGCCATTGATTGCCAACCATGGAACCAACTTGATTTTATTTAACCCTTTTCGCGGGTCCCTCTGTTTTTTATTTTTATTTATTTTATTTTTTCTCTCCCACTTCAGTCCACTTGTTAAACTAGACCCTGCGTCATTGTACATCTGGACGTGATCGTCATCGTGGTCAGCCCTGTTGAGGGGAATTTATCCCTTTTTTTTTTAACCGGGCAAGGCTTTGAAAGGTCAACTCCAACTTCATGTACTGAACGGTGACCGAAGCCTCCCGTCCCGTCTACACAGTCCACTATCCGGCTCGGTTTCTCTCTTCTGAAACAAAACCATAGTGCTCTAACAAGGACGACTGTTTTTCTACTTCCGCACTTGATTCTCAGTGCGACATTCGTTTCTGGTTCCTTGATATCTTAGTTCCGCACTCTCATTCGCCCAGAAACGAAGCGGTGATCGCGGTTGTGGCAAACCACTGGGATATTCTCACGCCGTCGCTCTGACCTCTTCGAGTGCGCAGTCTTTCGTATAGCTCCTTGACTACCGTCCTAGCCTGGTCTACCTTCACATGATTTTGTGGAGAATTTCCATTCTTCGTGATTGTTGACCCATCGAGCGGTCATAGGATTATTTATTGGCCTGTCCCGTCGAGTACAGCGTCGCTGACCGCCTATCGCCGTCAACGGTGTGCATAAATCACTCTATCTAAGCACAGCTTGCCAGTGGTTTGCATTGGTAGACGTCTGTGTGCCCGACGCCCTAATCGTGTTCACATCGGACTCAACTCTTACTGGTGTAATCCACTCGACCTACTTGCTTCGTTCGCAAGGTGCATGCGACTCATCGTCTGCCGGCCGAGGTGATTTCCTGGAACAATATCAAAGTCTCTGGTGAAGTTGTCTCGGCAGACGTGATCTGATTGGCACATCCAGTCGCCTCAGGCTCCCAAGGCCAACGCCACGCCTGCTGATACGACAAGAACCTGCACCACGCTGAAAGACTAGATCGCAGACTCTCCACTAAACGTTATCGGCTGGACATTGTGTTTTAGAGAATCACCCCCGTGGTTTCTCCCCTGTCCCAACCTAGCCAATCCGCTCCGCAAAGGTAGTACAGCGGCATTGAGAGGTCATATAAAATTACCCTGGGAATTGTATCCTCTTTTGTCCGCACTGGATTGGGCCCAAAAATCATACAGGCCAATATAAGAACAAAGCCGAGGCAAGACGCCCAAAAAATAATATAACATTCGGTAGCCATCCTGTTTTATTCTAGGCTTGCTGCTGTGTTGGGCTATTTTACAATCTCTTAGGAGGCTCTATCGTCCGGGTGAGATCATCGCACCGGGGTACTTAGAATTTCCTTTTGCTTTTTCCATCGCCCCCATAACCCCTGCTAGCTCCTGGAACTATTTAGTCGCAGCGCACCTAAACTGCAAGGGATTGACACCTGACGGCGTCGTTGGTTCTTTCCCCCGACACGCGCAACACCATATTACTGGGGTTGTAGGTGTGTGAAGCAATCCGCTGTGGCCATGCTTCTTCCGCACAAAATAATCCTAGTTCACTACCTCACAACTTAACGGATGACCAAGCCCAATCTGTTAGAGCTCCCAATAGGGGCTCAGCTCGTCTATCTGGCTGAGGGCGGTGCCAACGTGATCTATCGCATCGTCTCGCCGAAGTCGGCTATTGCGTCGAAGAAAGAGTTGCCGCTGGCGGTTAATGGTGCGGACTCCTGTAGCGTCCCACCCGAGTTTAAAGGCAAGTTGCTGCGATTGCGCAAGGACACACCGTCTGGGATCCCTTACCAGGAGATTGCTCGAAACTTTGACAAGAATATTCGCCCTCTCTTCAAGCCGGAGGAGCTGGTGGATCAGGAGCTGGTATGTCTCCCACGGGGGCTGATCCAGCATTGCAATGATCAACTGCACGTCGCCGAGATGGACGGCAAGCGCCCCAAACGACGTCAAGGCGTGTATCTGGCCACTGCCGAGCCGTTCGGACTTCTGATTACCGACATGACCACCTTCAACGACACGGGAATGGTTCTGGCCGAATTGAAACCGAAGTGGCTTCTGCAGTCACCATCGGCGCCGGCTACTGCCCGCAGATGTCGCACGTGCGCCATGCGTGATATGAAGAACCACGAGGCGTGGACGAGGGGTGGGAAACCAGAGCGATCGTTTTGCCCGCTCGACTTGGTCTCGGACAAGTTCGAAAACGTCCTGCGGGCCACTCGGTCGGTCAAGGGTTGCAAAGATTCAAAGCAGCTGGCGAAAGTGCTGTATTGGAACGGGACAATGCAGAAGCTTCTCGCTCACCAAAGAGCACATCGCGATGTTGGGCTGCACGGCCCGGCGGCGCAGTCTCGGGACAAGTCACTCGCAATGACCCTCCGAGACTGCACGATGTTCATCAAGGTACGTCATTCTTGCTCTCTGCGAGAGTCCTCTAACGTGGACAGATGCCGCGCGACGAAGTGGGCACTGTTGAAATCCGTCTCGGTGATCTGGATCTGAAGACTGGAGCCGGTGGCAAAGCGAAATACTGGCTGGACGTGGAGACGCAGTTGATCTCCGAGGGCTGGTACTTGGGGTCGAAGAGCTGTTCGCATGTGAGCGATTGTGCATTGCAAGGATCCCGAGGTCATTCGCAGCCATCTATCTAGCCTTCCGATTCTATTCTAACTACTTTCAAGGCCTTTAATCATCTTAAGTCGGCAGTTGAGTCACGAAAATCGCATGACGATGGACTGCACTCTATCTTTTAATAATCTGCAAGTTACGTCCGGTTTTATGCATTTGGGAGGTATCCGTCTTTCGGTTTTCGGTCTGCATGTTGTGTACATTAAGTGTTTTAATTTTTATCTAGGTAATACACAAGTTTAGAGAAATATTAAGCTTAACCTGCACACTTAAGTTGTGCAATGGTGTTCGTTTTATACACAGTGACTTGATTGTCAATGAACAGATGCTCTCTCCTAATTCATCCTCCCAAGATGGTGATTTTCTCATGAACTACCAACTAGCAGGCTACTCCATGGCATATGTGCAAGTTAATCAACATCGAACGAGGCTGCAATTGCTGCCCTCTAGGCACCCATGCCTTTTATTTTCAAGTAACCATACGCAATAGATGGACTCACATTCCCAATCCTTCAGAAAATACATATTTCAACATGATCACAAGCATAAGTCATCACCAAACATATCCATCCCTCTATATCCACAGTTTAAACACTATACTGAGCTTCGTTCACCATGCCAGACAAACAGAGATCCACTGAGAAGAAAAAAAGAATACAGTGCCTGGACTTCACAGTCCTCCACCCAAATCCAGTTCACACTACTACAAACAAGAATAAATACAAATATCAATCAATATATCGACCCCCAGAACTGCACCAACCATACCAAGCCATCGTCCCTACCCAACAAAACAACAAAACAACATCGCAGAAATATATACATACATACACCCTCCCTCCCTCTTTCCTTCATTCAAGAATTACCAACTAACCCATAGATTTACAAATCTCTCACTGCCCACCGACTCCATCCAGCACCACCAGTCCCGATAAAAGACCTACTCACCCAGCCAAAAGCCGTGCAACCGGAATACAGAAGCTTGTTGATTTTAAAAATCTGGCTTCGTGCAACGTGTCTGGGTCGGGAGTGGAAAGCTTGTACTATATTCTTGGTATTTTGTTCTTGGGTGGGTGGTTACGATGTAGTCGGTTGTGGTGTTGAATGATGGACGGGTTTTGATTATCTGGTTCAGCTGGGTTGAACTGGTTCTGGGAACTGGGTTTCAATGTTGTTGTAAGTGGGCCGGTTGCTCTTTGTTAGATATGAAGGTATTTAACCACTGGATTGTATGGTTTTTATTTTTGTCCTGGTATACTTACATATCATCTACCGTCCATTGCCATATCCAACCAACCCCTGGGTATACAAATATAGTATTCTAGGAAACCTAGGGTAGTGGGATACAAAGACAAAAATAAGACTACCCCCTTCTTACAAAATTTAAACACAGAATGCAATGTAGAACCCAAGATTAGATCAAGATTAGATTA